CCAACATCAATTCCAGTATAAACAAGAATGTTGGTTATGAGGTCAACCCTTGAATACGAGGTGTGTTCAAAAAATGACGGGAATTTCCGTATTTTGGAAAAAATATTTATTCATTCGTCTACATTAATGTTGTCGCCTTCAAAATAGTCCCCATTCGATATTATGCACTTACGCCAGCGCTTCTTCCAATCATCGAAACACTTCTCAAACTCGATTTTTGGGATAGCCTTTAGCTCTTTCAGCGATGCGCTTTTAATGTCATCTATGCTTGTAAAACGACGGCCCTTTAAGGTTCTCTTTATTTTTGGAAATAGGAAAAAGTCACACGGAGCCATGTCTGGCGAATATGGAGGCTGGGGCATCGTTACAGTATTGTTTTTGGCCAAGAATTCACGAACAAGCAACGAAGTGTGAGCAGGTGCATTATCGTGGTGCAAAAGCCATGAATTGTTTTTCCACAAATCCGGGCGTTTTTTTCGGATTGCCTCACGCAAACGGCGTTGAACTTTCAGGTAGTACTCCTTATTGACCGTTTGACCTTGAGGCAAGAATTCATGATGCACTATGCCATTAAAATTGAAGAACACAGTAAGCATAACCTTCACGTTCGAACGCACTTGTCGAGCCTTTTTCGGTCTTGGCGATCCAGGATGCTTCCACTGAGACGATTGAGCCTTAGTTTCAACGTCATATCCGTAAACCCATGTTTCGTCACCTGTTATAACACGTTTCAGTAATTCTGCATCATCGTTGACTTCCTTTAGTGATTCCTGAGCAACTTCCATTCGCCGCTGTTTTTGTTCAAAATTCAGCAATTTTGGAACAAATTTTGCTGCCACGCGTTTCATACCCAAAACATTCGAAAAAATTTCATGGCATGAGCCAATCGATATGCCAACATCATCAGCGACTTCTCTGATTGTGATTCGGCGATCATTCATAATCATTGCTTTCACTTTTTCCACGTTTTCATCGGTTGTTGATGTGCTGGGGCGTCCGGGGCGCTCGTCATCTGCAACGTCTTCACGGCCATCTTGGAAACGCTTATACCACTCGTAAACTCTTGTTTTACTCATAACAGACTCACCATAGGCCTTTGTTAACATTTCACACACTTTGTAACACTTTATTTCATTTTTTACGCAAAATTTGATACAAATTCTTTGATCCATTTCTTTTAACAAACGAAAATCGCCAAGCTCATAAAAACACGTCTAACCTTAGCGGCTGCCACAGACAAAGTAAGCAATGAATACAGCTGAAAATTTTATTGTACTTCAGGGGCATGTATACCAACATAATAAAAAAAAAATTTTGACAATTGGACTCTCCAAACCCGCGAAATTTTAAAATTCCCGTTATTTCCTGAACACACTTCGTATTACCAGTAATCTTCACACATCCATTACATGCAATAATTGGAATGTTGCATCATAAGATACCCCATGGCTACATTTTGCTCCACACATTATACACTTCTTGGGAGTGTTCTCCAGTGCAATCCTACATAACCTGTAGATACTGCAACACTTCTGCAAGTTGACTTGGTCACAATATTACAGCTCTGGTCATTCCTGAGACATGGGACTGAACGTACCAAATTTAACGGACATATGTAGTACTTTCAATAATTTCGTGGACTATCCGCACATTGGTACTGTTATGCACTATAGCAGATATGTGGAGCCATGAGATGGTGCCACGTCCATTCTTCTCTCATCCAAGCAAGAAGCAGTTATGTGTGTACGGTGTATTCAGGAAGGAAGTCACTGTTGTGAAGGGTAGGTTTCTGCGAGCACCGGAAACTGAGAATGTTACAGTTTCAGCAATGGGAAACATAAAGTTCTGTCAAAAATTAGGCAAATCTGGTAGTGAAGTGTTTCAGATGGTCAAGCACACATACACTGAAGAAGCTTTGGACTGTAGTGCTATGTTTGAGTGGCACAAACATTTTTCACAGGGGAGAGAGTTTGGAAGGTGATGAGCATACCGGTCAGAACTGAACTTAAAATCCAAGAAGATGCAATGCTGGCGCATGCCAACTGCTCCCAAATGATAGATGAAATCGCAGCAGCAGCAGGGATTAGAAATGGTACTTGCCACAAAATTCTGTCTAATGACCTAAACACATCTCGTGTTACCCAGCACAGTCTTCACGCGTCCTGACGAAGGCCAACATGATGACTGCATGAGTATTTGAGGTGACCTGATCAACAGTGCTGACAAATATTGGGCGTTTCTCGACCAGATCATAACAGAAGGCAAAACATGTTTTCTGTACGATCCACAACTGAAGCAACAATCGGCCACCCACCACAGCAGCCAGGGTTGAAACCCAGGTCTGGTCATGTGGGATTTGTGGTGGGAAAAGTGGTGCTGGGGCAGGCTTCTCTGAGTACTTTGTTACCCTTGCTAATAATCATTCCACCACTTGCACCACTCTAGCATCACAGCAAGTACAATATGCACCAAAAATTGCTGTACTGAAACTCACGCATCTCAAACGTGCATGTGTGTTTACTGATGGGGCATAGCTCCAGCCGCACATGTTCCCAGTAGTGAAAAGGAAGTTGTGTTGTGCAGCTGTTGTTGGAAATGGGTATCTCGATGGAGGAAAAAGTATTCATAGTTAAGTATAACTTCCGCTCACACGGAAGTGGTCACCAGACAACTAGCTTCCTTCGTTTTGAATGGCCAGATGTTATCATCCAGAAACCACTACACAGTACACATGTGACAATATTGTGTGCCAACACAGCACACAGTATACCAGGCCCCTATTTCATTGAGGATGAGGAAGCCAATGCTCTTACCATCACCCAAAAACACTACAGGGACATGATCAGACCATTTCTTCAGGATCTGAGAAGGTTCTGTCATGCAAGGAGCCTTCACATGAATAGACAGTGGTATCAATAGGACGTCTTTTAATTTCATTACTGAATATTTTGGACCATACTGTACTAGCTTTGCATGACAAAGCAGCTCTTGAAGACCTTGAGAATCTAACAACACTTTAGGTAGTCAATAAATTCCCTGCCTTTTATGGAAGTTTGAAATTTAAAAAGGGATGCTAAGACAATGATAATCAAGTCATGACACTAATGCCTTTGGGGGGTGGGGGGAGGGGGATGGAAGGTGCTACTCACAAGCCATCCAAGGAGAAAACATGGCTCAAGGAGAACAGTAGCTTGGCAATGTTATGGGTATGGCCTCATCTGAAATGTCATTAATCATGGTGATTTCAGGAGATTAGCTGGTTGAGGCACTATGCTACAAGCTGGAAGGTATAATGCATAAGGCTGACAACCTCATTGCCATCTCAGCCAACTGACTAGAAAATGTGGGTGCTTCAACTTCTCACAACCCTATGGGCCTCCATGGCCTGTTACAGGGATAGCTTTCACCACACTGAAGAGCACACCATTAGATGCCACTCAAAAAGTGTCAGATTTGCATGAATCCTGAACAATCAGTAATTTGTATTTAATCTCTCATAAAAATTACATGCAAGTGTGAATTTCAGCCCCCCCTTCTCCTCCCTATAAAAAAAAATTTTTAACCAACTTCATCAAGAAGTGCCACTTTCAAGCAGTTACAAATTTTTTTCCCCACAAATGTAATGCAACAACATCCAGTGGAGGACGAATGTTGTAGCAGCTCTGAAGGATCATGATTCCAAATCTCATTTCTCTACAGCGAATAACTGTGAAGGAAAGTCTAATCTTCTGTGAAAGAAGTGTCACTTTGAAGTGAATTCAGTCAAGCAGTAACTCCTCTTTAAGACATTTCAGCACTGCCAGAGGGAATGAAGATCTAAAACTACTTATACATATCAAACGCCACATAAAAAATCCCAGGAAGAAGGATCAGTCCTGCTTCTGGGGCCCACATTTTTCAACAGACTGAAGCTTGTAAGAGAAGTCAGGGATAACTCACGTTCGCTGCGAAGTCTGCAAATTATATTATTACTATCAGAACATTAGTACTTAAGGCCATAATTTAGTGCTGTGAGAAGTACTACAACTGGTACAAAATGACATCACTGAACATAACCCGTTATTATACCCATATGACCCCAACATTAGAAGTGGTCACAGGACTGTTCTGCAACAACTCAATTTTGAGACTTCAAACAACCATAAACTGTGGGGGAGGGGGAGGGGGGCATTACTGCAAGATGTTACACTCCAGTGTGGCATATTTCTTACTTTCATAATATTCAGAAATCCAACATCATTTAACTTCATACAAGCACACAAAGAGGCCAGTTTCTGCTCTCAAGCAGAATCTACATACTGAAATAAATGAATCATATGTTTTGAGTGAGAACTGGAAGGGAAATTAAAACATATTGTGTGACACAAAGCTGTTATTTTAACTCTGAACAAAACACACGTAACTTGTCTAAAATTGAAGTTAATCTTATGCCAATGGCACCTTAAGACCCTGTCACAAATAATAGTTTTCCCTTTGCAAATGGCAGCATTTCTTGCACTCACTCACATAAAGCATAATTATGTACCTTCAACTTCATCATCCCAGACTGAACACCTGAAGTTTCAGTTTTTTTTTAATATCAATGCAAAATTAGCAGACATAAAGCATCGCTTTCCCTAACTTATCTGCTTGCACATTATCAACACTGGAAAAATTTGCTATACAAAGACAACATCCTTCAAAACTTTCCAAAGTAAACTTACACACTTTTGATAATCACCACCTCAGCTGCTATAACAAGAACTGTACGCATCACCTCAGCTGCTATAACAAGAACTGTACGCATCATAATACAACTAGTTTTTATATGGAGCATATCACCCAGAGGAAAGAGAAGAACAGTTAATCAATTTTGAATTATTGTACTTGCACACCCTTACTAAAAAAAAAAAAAATCTGAATTCTTGTGAAGTAGGTAATACCTGAGAAGTACAGTGGTGCACTGCAGGACACAGTATACATGTGAATCCACTTTTAAGGAAATAAAGCTTGGTACTCACCCACTGGCTGAAGTGGGTGCTGCGGTGCTTGTGGACGGTGCTCCTGGAGTGAGGAACTGTGACTGTGATGACTGCTGGACTTGTTGCAATGACTGGCTCTGCTGAGGACCCTGTTGTTGCTCCTGCTGATGATGCTGCTGTTCTTGTTGTTGCTGTTCTTGCTGCTGTTGCTGCATCCCAGAAGGACCAGCTTCATCACACCCCGCAAGAGATACATTGACAAACGTTGTGGGTTCCAAAGGTCCATATGGCTCTTCATCCGACTCTGCTTCTTCTTTGCTTGGGGCTTCACCACCATCATCCTCCCCACTGTCCTCACTGTTAGAACCCTCGTCCTCACTCTCCGACTCATCTTCGTCCTCACTTCCCCCCTTACAATCGTCAGCCAAAACAGCTTCTACTCGACTCAGACCCTTGGCTAATTCTGATCCCTGATCTTGCTCTACAGCCTCTTCTTTCAACACCAACTGTGTAACAAAATAAAACACAAAATAAAAGTGAGCCCTCAACATTAATACAACTGGATCACTACACATGTCTTTCAGACCAATGCACAAAGAAAGCTGGCTAGTCGTATTTAATTCTGCTTTGTCAATGTCTTAAGTAGCTACAGATTACTGCCTGTTTGAACTGCCATCCTGCACCTGGGGTCCTAGCACAACGCCAGATATATTCTTGCAGAAAGTGATCCGAACTAAGATCTTAGTTCTTTTGACTCATTGTTGTGAAACATATGTACTAATAAACTCTATTAAATTCTTCAAAATTAAGTCTCTGTGAAAGTATTTGTTTATTCTGAACAAACAAAATAATATACTTTGGTATCCAGGACATTCTATATGACAATAAAATATCAAGCACATCAACGTTCAGATGTTTCTAGTCATAATGGAATTGCACACACTGTGACAGTAACATAAGAGATCCATCAAACTAAGGAATGTAATAATTTAACTTCAATCACATATTATATAGATCATTGAAGGTCGCAGCGTGAGGGCCAGATTTTATGGCCCACCCCTTACACACATACATACATAAATCACTTATTAACAGATTCATTAAATTAGTACATGTAAAATGTTAATGAATTATTATTCAAAGTCTGACTGTGCAGTTTTCAATGTCATCTTACAGGCTGTTTACAAACAAACCACCACTGCTTCCCAGGTAGTTCATGTACCTGGATCATCCTTTTACATCAGTGATGTAAAGCAGGGTGCCTGCAAGCGTCATTTATGTTGCCCGCCAAAAACAAATGGCACAACACGCAGTTAAATGCAGGTTTTCTATGTTGCTCTATTCAGATGTCAGCACTATACACAAATATACTGTGACGTGTTGTGCAACGGTAATAGGCAGGTCAACATCCTCCCTCCCCTCCACCCCCCCCCACCAGCGGTGACGTGCCGAGCGGAGCCGAAGTGAGCCTAGTCCCAGCACACTGGTCGCTATGCAACGTGGATAAACAGTGGTTGCGAGAGACGACGGTAGCAACAGTGATGCCTACTACACGGCTGTTTTCTCGTTGCCCTGCTGAGGGTTTATAAGGGAACTACACAGCGGCCGAAGACAGTTCTCAGTTCGCGAGTTACGAACACGTGTGCGAGAATCAGTGATAGTTCGAGTAATTGGGAGTGTGCGATACAGTTGCACTTGTATAGCTCCCGCATACTGTAAGACATGTATACTGTCAATAGTGATTTGATTTGCGAATAGGGTTATAAATTGTGGAACCCCGCAACATTGTCATAATTAATTGTAGCCGTTACTTGTAGGTTGTTGAATAAACCAATTAACAATCCTATGGCATATTCAGTAACGAAACACGTTACAATATTAATTCTCAGTACATCTCCTTTCAGACATTCTTAGATTAACTTCTGTAGGACTGTTTCCACCTGAAGAACTTTCAACTCCCATAACAGCACTGTTAAGTTTTACCCAAAACGTAACCCAACAATGCTTCCTTCAAACCATGGCAAGCAAAAACTAAATTGTTTTAATAAACTCTTGCATACATGTTAAAGGACCATCCTTGGATTTGTGAGTTACAACTATCTGTAAGAAAATGTATCACTGCCTGCAACTGTAATATTCAGTACTGAAGCATTTCTGTTGGGGGCCGCACCATAGCTCAAGTGGTTAGTCTCTGGCTTCCCACCACGGCGGCCCGGGTTCGATCCCAGGTCTGGTCAAGTGGGATTTGTGGTGGACAAAGTAGCGCTGGGGCGGGTTTTCTCCGAGTAACTCGGTTTCCCCTGCCAATCTTCATTCCACCAAATTCTCCATCATAATCAGCCAGGGCAGGTACAACAGGCCAATCAGTGGCCGCCATGCCGAGTGGACCCAGTTGGACTCCACCCCCCATTAAGCAAAGCATTTCTCTGTGTGTCCATTATTTTAGTTGTTGCAGCAGACTCTTAAGTGTTCTCTGGCTATCAGTTTCTTCAGAATGTTTTGTGTGTGCACTGCAGTCTTGTGAACATGATTTTTTCTATTGTGAGCTGTTACTGAAGAATGATGAAGGAAAGTGCATATAGTACACACTGAAGTGCTGAGCTGACATGATTATTCAAGCTGAGTTCTTTATGTGAAATTATTCACTTTCTAAATAAATCCCATGGATGACGAAAGTAAAATAAAGACATGGAAGTTTATGCAGCATACAGATGCTGCAAATATCTGTCCACAGAATTCTTCAGAAGAGCCTACACCTAAATAAAACATACAAATTACAAGCAGTGCAGAAGCTTACAGCACATGATAAAGAGCTTAGATAGCAGTTTACAGCACACAAGTGCACAAATTCTCGGATATGGCAATATCTTAAGCTGTAGTGCCTTCACTCACGGATCACTGCAGCAATTGCAGATGTTACAAAAAACATGTTACGGCATGCCTGGAAAATGGTGGGCTATAGGTGGAATGACTACAGGGCTATAGACGGTGCTCACTGTGATGTGTTTCATTTCTAAGAACTTTTCTACATGTGTGCAAAAAGACTGCATCTACAGATGAATAAAATATTGCAAACACAGCCCTCATGCCTTTCTTTCATTCCTCAAAACACTTACTGACCCTTCTGAAGCATCAAATGAGGACAATGAACCCATTTCACACCTCAAACTGATCGACCTATACTGCAGTGATGCATTTGGGTCTGAATCCATAAAAGGAAATTCACTGAAGACAATATCTGAATCAGCAACTTAATACGATGTTAGAGTAAGCTTGTTCAAAGGCATTTTATCTGTGAACAAGCTCTGTTAGACACAACATATCCAGCTGTAAAATGAAGATCTAGCACCAAACCTCTTGACTAACAAATACATACATCACACCTGGCTTGCAATGCAGTCAACAGTCACATCAGTTAATCGCTTGCAATGCAGTCAACAGTCACATCAGTTAAATTGTTAAGTTTTAATTTCTTATAAAGAAATATTTCTTACGTTTATATTAATGTTTCTAATAGAAGTTTTTATGGAATAAGTATTCAAACAATTTCACTTGTTTTCCTTTAAGAAAGCAATTCTAATGTTCCTACTAGTAAACAAAAACCTAATTAGAGTCTATGTCTGCAGCCAACAGACAAAAGCCAGTTTGGCTAAGTGGCCATCTGGTGGGGAAGTAATAACCCAGGTCCGAATTTCCTTCTATGTATAGACACTGGATGTTGAAAACAGAATCCACTAGTTCTATAATAATTACATGTGACAAAGTATTGTCATTATCTTATAACATACGATCTAAAATGTTTCTGACCAAGAAGAGTTCATTCGGAAGTACATCCTTAAGTAACACGGTCATTTTTCAAACTGAGGAAAAATACACCAATGATAGTGCATCAGTCAGATTGACCTTCCAACTGTCTGTTGCTTTGCATGTCCTTGGATCACATCCAGGCTTGTCTCTTTAAAGGAAAGAAGAAGGAATATGGATCACATCTAGGCTTGTCAACTTAAAGGTAAGAAGGAATCTGAGTTCAATACTACATTTTAACACATCCAGGACCAGAGGGGCCAATTGGCCCTCTATGTTTCTATAGCGTTGCGGACCGGGCGGGCCAATTGGCCCTTTTCTGACGCGTTATGTTGCACCGACTATATCTCACTGTGTGGCCACGATGCATCATAACTACTGCATAGTTGACCTCGGGAATGTTTGCTAGCTAAGCCAGTAACATGATCACTCCCACTTCCTGTCACACCCTAAAGAAAAAAGCCTTTGTTCGAGTCCAAGCTTCCACGTTTGAACCAGGAACTTAGCAGTGCAACATGAATCAGAGACGAAAGCAGTTGCAGGCGAAGCGTTCTCTCGGAGAACAAGAAATATTAGATTTGTTCTCCTATGAGCTATCAGATTTGCCAACTGCTTCCTCTTCTGATAGCAAGGCCAGCCTCAGTGAAAGTGACAGTGACAGGGGCCACAGGGCCCCCCAAAATATTGTGTCCAGTGAAAGTGAGAGCTCCGATGAAAGTTTCCAGAGATATCACACGCGCAAGCACTTCTAGGAGCTCTGGTAAGTGTTCTCCAAAAATTTTATTTTATAAATTAATTAGGAGATTTTATATTAATTTTTAAAGTGAACAGTGCACAAGTTAGGGTGCTAGGCTTAAAAACCCCGGTCCCCAGGGTGATTTAAGTATTTAAACAACCAGTCCCCAGTGTGTTAAGATAGTGCAGCCCAATTCCTATACCACTGACAGAAAAAGCTTTTTTTGTGTCTTGTGCCTCTCAAGACTGTTTTAATACTAAACCCCCACATTCCATTTCAACTGATATTACGCCAAACCTGTTCTGTCAATAGTGGAACAGCTCCCCATGATCGAACCAATCACAACCTCTAAATTCAGTGTGAAACCCTGTCAGTTTTTGCAGAAAGATATCACAAATCATGGTGATCAGGCAATACCACACTGCTTTGGGCTTCCAGCATGTTGATGTGTACTTCCCACAAAAGAATGGTAAATTTTGGATTTAGGAAAGCTGCATTGGACTATTAAGGTAGCAATATATCTGGATAATGACTTAAAACACCTGACTTCATATAATTTCCATGCAGTGTAAGTGTATCTGTTTCACACTTACTGTTATTACCTGGTTTATATGAAACATCACATCTTCACTGAACTAAACCCTGGATCTCTTAATAATAGTCTCAGTTTACACACTGATCTTTAGTTAAATTAACATCCTGATGCAAACTTTAGCCACATACATCAAGTAATCTGCAGTCACTACACAGGCACATCTGTGGACTTTGATTTAGAAAAGAACTGCTGAAATCATTTTTGGCATCAAACGAAGACTTCATTTATAAATAAAAACTTAAACTTCAGTGCAGTACTAAACTTTTAAGAGACGGGCTATTCAAATTCCCGTAATGGTAGCCGGCCGGAGTTAATTTAAATGTTCGCCATTGTAGAGTAATAAAAATTGTAAGCATGTTACTGAAAATGCT